GCCTTTAAACGGGTCGATTTCTGTCGACTGGAAAGTCGACCCGTGTAGCTTTAGATTTAAATTTTAAGCGTTCTTACTACATATACATAAGTAGTACGTATTCGTAGATATAGCAACTTAAAAACTAAAATTAATTGAGAAGAGAAATGGTGCTTCTTGAGGCTTATTTTCACTATGGAAATGCACATGTCATAAATTGGAAAACAGAAAAGTAATATAGGGCAGTTCAGGATCTTGTGCATTTGCCCTTGCATTTGAAAATGCAATTTAAACTGCCAATCCAAGACCATTTCCACAACATCCTAAACAACCATTATATAAATGGAATTACCCCAAAATTGGACCTCAGCCGTGCCAACGCGTTGTGACATAAACTGTTTTATTGCCGAAGTTAGAACCAAGTTATGTCGTCAAAATATTTTATAGTGCACATTATCTATTTAGTTTTCTTATTCTTCTTTATTGGCGCTATAGCCGCCTAACAGGCTAACCTAATATTCCCGCACGCCGCCAATTTATTGTCAAAAATTTCTCATGCACATGCAACTTGTATGAGATCAACCGAAATTGAACGGCGTGCGTATGAAGCTAACTCAATTTCCAATTTTTGTTCTGCGTGACATTTTGATTTGACGTTTCGCTCAATGAAATCAAATGCAAACGCATGCAAGTCAATTTCGGGTGACGCAAAAAAAAACAAATTCGACGGCATGCGTACCAAAACGCAAGCCGCGAATATTAGGTTAGCCTGTAAGCGTTTTTGGCCGAGTCCGAAACAGCAGACCAGCCATTTCTCTTCTGTGCCAACTGACATTATTATTGGTGTTTAATGCTGGTTCCCAAATAAACGAAGTTGTCTACTTTTTCAAAGTAGTAACTGTCAACAGTGACGTGTGTGCCCAGACGCGTACGCTCTGACTGTTTGTGTGATGACAGGATATACTTTGTTTTGTCCTCGTTCACCACCACCAGACCCATTCGCTTTGCTTCACTATCTAATCCAGTGAA